ACTCTGTCCTACCCTTCACATATCTCTCTCCTGCCCTTTGCACTCCACTTCCCCCTACCCCACACTCCTATGGAACTCCGCCTTCTGTCCCTTTCCCTCCACTTTCCCCTTATGTGCTACTAGCAAATACATACGAACGAGCATCGTTAAGAGAACAGACAAAGTATAAGCTGAGGATCTGAAATGAATTGAACAGGAGTATGAAGTCGAACGACAGACACAAAGACTAAGTATAAGCTGAAGATCTGAAGCGAAATGAAACAGGAGTATGAAGATCTGAAGTGAAATGCACAGGAGCATACCTTCCCCTTTACTCTGCCTCCTGTTATAACGTGCAAGTAGGCTGTTAAGGCACAAGGGGATGTGGGAAGCTGCCACTAAGCCGCCATCAACGTGGGCAGCCTTGTACGTGCAATGTTACGGACCCAGCCAGGGTTCGATCCCTGGTCCGCTGGTTACCACCCGCCAGGCTGCTATTCTATTTTTTTTTTGGGAGTCTCTGATCTCCAGTTCCTGACTGTTGGTGCCCTCTGCAGTTGGCGCCCGCTCTCAAATCCCGCCTCTGCCACTTTCGGATTTCGTACTTGGCGCCATCTGGCATTCTGACGCCCAGGCTCAGACCTTCGATTTTCAGTTCAGCCCCGAGGCAATTGCACTTTTGCCCTCGGACTCAACTTGAGTCCAGTACTTAAGACCGGACTCAAGATGAGTTCGGGGACTCAGTTTTCAGCCTCAGTGCTTGTGCTTCAGTGTGACTTGCTGCGACATTGTGTACGGAACCAAGCTTGTGACTTTGCCACTTTGTGTTCGTGTCCGTCGAGTCGTGTCGAGTCCGTGTCGAGTTGAGTGAGTGTGTGTGTGTGTGCTCTCACTCCCTCCCTCCCTCTTCCCCGACCTCGCTGCTCTGCCTCAGCCCCGTCACATGCAAGGAATAGTAAAAGAGGAGCTGTTGCCCCGAAGAAACCCAAGGTGAACACAGTTCTAAACGGTTCTATTATGATTCATGTTGCTTGCTAAAGAGATGAGATTCTTTAGTTGTTGGGCTGGCTCAACTCGAATCTGCTTGTCTGGGTGGAATAGGGGCTGTTGTTGTGGAAATTCAAAACACACACACACACACAATGTGCGGCACCCTGACATGTCACGTCCAATTTGTAGACAGGGGTTGGAACAGCAGTGCCTATACAATTGCGGTCGGTGTGCCTGTGTTCCTAGCATGTAGGAGCCACATAGTCTTTGACATCTGTCTACTCCGTGTCATTTGATGCAGCAACTGCAACTGCGAGAATTGGATGTGGTGCTTCCACAGTCCAGACCCGAACCAGTCCTGTCCGGTCTGTAGGGTTGGCCACTTACCATAGGCGACGGCTGCTCCTCAACTCAAAATCTCCTGCAACCCAAACACCGACTGACCTCTCGTGTCATTCTAGAGTAGTCTGCTCCAGCGGTGAGTATTGAGAACTCTCTGAAGTTTGGCATCCCCCTGTTCTGGTCTTTGCCACTCCACTCCCCCCCTTCAACCCTCTCTCTCCCGCCTCTCGCTCCATATAGAATTCCACCTCCTACCCTGTACTTCCTCCCTCCCCTTATGTATGTGCTACTAATAAAAGCATACGGACGAGCATCATTAAGAGAACAGACAAAAAATAAGCTGAGGATCTGAAGAAAAATGTATAGGAATGTACCTCCCTAAGCCCCCTTTGATCTGCCTCCTATTATAACGTGCAAGTTTGCTGTCAAGGCAGACGGGGATGTGGGCAGCTGGCGCTCAGCCACAATCAACGTGGCCTTCCTTGTATGGGAGAGGCATAGTAAAAAGGGATCTGCAATAACAAATAAAAGGAGTACCCCAAAGAAAACTGAAGTAAAGATACTTAAGAAAGGGAAATAATTCATCTAGTGCGCGCCGTGTTGCTTGCTATAGAGGTAAAACTGTTTTTTCATTGTTGGATTGGCTCATCTCAAATGTGCTTCACTGTCTGCAATAGAGATAAAGTTGCTTTGATTTTGGATGCTTGTACTAATCTGGGTGGAACAGGGGCTGTTGTGGGGAAAATCTAACACACATAATTTGCAACTTTGCAAGCCAGCACCCATGGCTGGCTAGGGGGTGGCTCAGTAAGCTTGGGTGCATGGAGTCAACAACTTTTCGCAAAATGTTGAGTGCGCTGACCATGGCAATTTTGCCTGCTGAGAATGTCTAACAAAAAAATATGAAAAAAATCAGGGACAGAGATTGATTGGCAATGGTTGCGGATTGCTCCAAAAAAAATGAAAAAAGGAAAACAAAACAAAAAGCTCTGCATGGCAAAAAACATTCTGGCGGCAAAAGGACCCTTCTTTTTCTCCCTCCTGTCAAATAACCAGTACATCTGGGCGTCTTTGTGCCGTAGCGGATCCGCGCTGCATGAGGAGCTTTTCAAAACGACCAGTGGTGCACTTTTTGTTCTTTTGGGCTGGCTCCGCCAACCATTCTGTTCTGGTAGCCCGGATCCCCAAAAATTTTCAGATTGCCTGGATTTCGATTCTCAAGTTTGCCTTAAACCACGAGTACATCCAGCTATCGGCAGCGGGCCCTTTTCGGAGCCCACCGCCGATTCAATTTATCTACGGCGCTGGCCCTCCAAAGATTTCGTAGGCGACGAGTTTTCTTTTCAGCAAGGCTGGGGCCGTGTACTGGCGGTTTAAGGGCAGGCCAACATCTCACACTCTCTCTCTCTCTCTCTCTCTCTCTCTCTCTCTCTCTCTCTCTCTCTCTCTCTCTCTCTCTCTCTCTCTCTCTCTCTCTCTNCTCTCTCTCTCTCTCTCTCTCTCTCTCTCTCTCTCTCTCTCTCTCTCTCTCTCTCTGTGTGTGTGTGTGTGTGTGTGTGTGTGTGTGTGTGTTATGATCTGATGTACCTTGTGCCATCCTGTCATATCACACTTATACCCACAACTGCCCAGAACAACTCAAATCACCACACACTCAAGTCACTGCCGAATGCAGACATAGATCAGTCCGACTCTACTTTCTCCCTCCAACCTCTTTTACGCCTTTTACAAGTATCATCATTATCCAGCAGTGAACATGGTCTCACCTCCACCGAGAGGTCAACAACCAGAGACTGCCATAGCCTGGTGCCTGTAGCTGCAGGCCAGTGCAAGTTCACGAGTCTTCTTCAGCGGTCGGGGAGTGCAAGCGAGACTTTCTTCAGTCAGAGTTGAGACAGCCTGGAGGCATCAACTACTGTGTCTTTGACTGGACTGGCTGGCCTTATATATTGTTGGCCAGGCAGTCGGTCAGCCTCTGGGCCTGACCTCTTTGCGGGAACTGGCCCAGATAGAACTTTCCGTGGGGCAGTGCAACCATACTCTGGCACTTTCCAGGTACGGTGCAGAGTGACCGGAAGGTTCTGATACCCTGCGTTGTCTCTTTTTTTAAGGCCTACTCGCTTTTGGTCAAAACCTTTTTGGGGACAGTAAAAAGGGACAAACAACTCATTTTTCCAAAATAGCACGGGCAAATTGAAAACACATGAAACCACGTGAAAACACAGACTCTATACAGGTATGGGACACTCGCGTGGTGCTCTCTCTCTCTCTCTCTCTCTCTCTCTCTCTCTCTCTCTCTCTCTCTCTCTCTCTCTCTCTCTCTCTCTCTCTCTCTCTCACGTGTGTCGCTCCACCCCTTCCCCGTCTGGCACACAAGCTCTTTCTCATGCACGTTTGCATGATTAGACCCATGTGGGGCTGAGCCCTTGGTATGCACGACAGTAGATCAGGTGCTGCTTAGCTATTGCTTGGGTAGGTACAGCTAGGCTGGGACAGCTAGCGTTGTATACTGGATTTCTGCAAGATGACATGTATATTACCGTATTATTACGTCATAAATTGACACATGGCAGGGCAGAGTTAATGCATTGTCTGCCCTTCTTAGTTAATAGTTAATGCATTGCCATCCCTCCTCCATTAATCAACATGCGAAATTAAAATGTCATCAGCTGGTTGGCGATGTTAAGATCTCTATGGAGTGGTATGATCCGCCATTGCAATCCTGCAAAACAGCATGCAGCACTCCTGCAGGCCAGGTCAGGCGTACAGCACAAGGCCTCTGTGCACAGGTCAGGTGTGGGTTTTGGCCTGGTGCAGGGCATGGAGTCATTGCGGGCTGCTGAACATGAGTGCTGTCACAGAACGAAAAAATAGACTGATGGGTGGTGCAAACGAGTGTGTATAGGCCGTGAATGGCAATAGATGATAGTGGAGGCAGGTGGTTATGAGAAGGAGATGATAGCAACTGGCATAACGTGAAAAAGGACTCCATCTTTTCATCCACCAATCTTCTCTTTTGCAGCATTGCTTCCATCCTATTAAGAGCAGTGGCCGCAATGGCTCAAAACAAATGTACGTCGAGGATGATAGCAAATGACATAACTAGTACCTACTAATTACAAAAGTAGTACTTACTAATTAGCCATTGCCATTTGCTTAAGTTGATGCCTTTCTGCTTGGTGGCTCCCCTGCATTGCCTTCACAACTTTGTTTTCTCTTACCCTGAGACCCTCTATACATTTGCAATGCGTCATCACCCGCTATGCCACTTTGTTAGATTGTGCGGGACACTGGCAGCACGGTTGTGGGGGTGGTTAAGCTGTGGTTTACAGCTGGTAGCATTCTCCGTCACCGGTGATGAGCTCAATGATGCATCATTGTATCCTTTGCCGTAGGCTTGCGTGTTTGAAACTGTTCATTTCATCAGTGTTATACCAGCACTCTGTTATGGCAGCCTGGTCTTGACAGCTTTCCTCATTCACAACTGCACGAGAACATAGGCTGGGCACTGTCGAGTCAGCACTCGGTTATTCTGGTTGCTAGAAATTCGAAAGAGTGCTGCGATGCTGTGTTCTGATGCTGTTTTCCGATGCTGTGTCTGGGACAAAGTCAAGACGACGCACATGCATGTATATATGGCAGTAATCACTGGTTTTGAACCTGAATTGTATTGTGGTTGCAACTTGCAGGATGAAATCTTTCATGTTCCACAGGTACAGCAATATTGCAAAGCGAACTTCGCATCATGGAATCCGAAGATAACGACTCTTCCTGGCCTGTGTGTATTCATCGATCCCATGCTATTGCCCGTATCCATTCCTGCGTGGCTTGCATGACCACCTACCTAATGTTTTTCGCTCTTCTTATCTTGGGAGTGTGCTGCAAATTTACTCCTTTGTCTCCTCACTACTGCTCTCTTGACAGGCTTTTCCTCATGTCAGTCTTCGCAAACTTGGACGCTGTCTCGGACACATTGTGTCGGCATGCGTGTCTCGTGGCAAATGAGAAAGAGTGGGAGGGAGACAAGTTCAGATGACAGTATCCCTGTCGTCGTGCACTTGTCAGTGAGCCAAAGATTCAGTGAAAGAGTACATGTCCTCACCTTAGAAAATAATGAAGTAAAAAAACAGCTCTTTTCCTAGGCTGGTCCTCAGGCGGCCCGGCTGGGGGAAGGTCGCCTGGGTACCCTCCCAGGCGGCCCGGGCCGGGCAGTGGCCGGGCAGGGTCCCGGGAAGCCCCAGTGCATAATATTAAAAAAAAAAAAAAATTCAGAACATTCAAAAAAATCTGGGAAAAAAAATGTTGTATAAAATTGCAGTACAAGCAACTTTTGGCTGAGGGTCTCCTCGAAATTCAACATTAATTTTAGGATAAAAAATAAATGAGGAGAAATGAGGTAAGATACACCCTTTTAAACCCCTCTAGTCACTGTTTACAGTAACTTATACCCCTCAAACACTCCTGGGTGACCCACCACCGAAATGGAAGGTAAGGCCGGATTCTGACTGTTCAGGCCGAGCCCAGTCCCGGCCTGAAGTCAGTTTCTTTTTTTTGGAGATCCTTCCCTCTTTTTTGACCCGCCTGGTTTTGCTGGGCGATCCCCCCCGGCACAGCTGGCCCGGACATGCCTGACCGGGCGACGGCCCAGCTTAGCTCTTTTCAACTTCTCATGTTTTTCCTTTTTTTTTTTTTTTTGGGAAAAACTTGTCATGTTTGTGTGTGGGAGGATCTACTTGTTTTTTTTTAACTTCTTTAAAGTTCTTTCCATATTTACGTTCCCCTCCCCCCCCCCCCCCCCCCTTCCTACCATTTCTTGGTTTATCAATGTCATCCTTGTGCAGGGGCCAAGCTAATCTTCTCTGTATTGTTCCAATTTTAACGGATGTACCGAAGGACCTTTTCATATTTATGTGTGGGACTTGTGCTTAAAAAAAAAGGAAAAACAAAAACATCTACCGGCCCGTGCTAGTGGAGGTGGTACAAACACACACCACTAGCAGGCCAGGGGATGGCTTCAGTCTATTGGTGGGGAGCACCACTTGCGTGGGAATTGCACTCATCTTAGTAAAAACAGTCCTTCGGGACATCCGTTGTGGGATGATCTACTTGTCAGTCTGCAAATGATTCAGCGAAAGAGTACTTGTCCAATCTTAGAAAATAAATAAATGTAATGACCCGTCAAAACACAGACTGAGAACACTGCTGATTTCTGAAGTTCTGCCGATGGAATGGATGCCTTGATGAGATTCCCTCATTCTGCTGTGTTTTCTAAGTCTGTCTCTGGGTGTGTGCTTGTGACCTGCATGCCTGTCTGAGTGCTTGTCGGTATGAGTGCGTGTGTGACCCGCAAGGGTACTTGCTTGTTTGGTAGGCCCGTAGGGGCGGTACTTACCTGTGGCCATGGCATTGAGGGTTGTAGCAGGGAAAAACACTGAAGTGGCGAAGCTAGCGGCCCTGAGGCCCTTGGGGTAGGGGAAAAACACTCAAGCAGGCCGGTAGGCCGATACTGCACCCCACTGCAGTTGGCGTGAGGGGTACTGGAGGCCGAGCAGAAAAAGACAAAGTTGGCATTTTTAGAGTCCAGTAGCGGTAGGGTAGGTCTAGGCCGGTACCAGTCCAACCAGTCTGAGTCTAGAGCCTGTACGGGTAATATCAGGGTCTGCAATGATGTTTCCCTCCGAAACCAAGGAAGTACCGGTTGCTTGGAGAGGCCGAGCGGCCTGGAAGTCACCGCCCAAGAGGCAAGTAGGCTGCTATATCTAGAGGCGAAGGTTGGACTCTATCGATCCAACTGCCATGCGGCAAGGCACGGGTCTCTCTCTCTCTCTCTCTCTCTCTCTCTCTCTCTCTCTCTCTCTCTCTCTCTCTCTCTCTCTCTCTCT